CTGCATCGAACGGCGAAGCCGAACACAACTTTATCCTGAACGGTGACATCGGCTCACTGAAGCCGATCCATCCGGGATATTACGCCGTCTTGCAGACAGCCACGCAGTGCGTCGTTAAGACGTAACCACCGCCGTTTCGCTAACTCGCGGTCAACGAAATCCTGTCGAGAACGAGGTTAGGCTTAACCAGTCGTAATCGTTACACGCGGATTCTGGAAGCGGTCCATGCACTTGAACTCGCACGCCTCATCGAAGCAGGCGCGAAACTCCAACGAGTACTTGGTCAGCAGCGTGTGCCGCTCGCAGGAGAGGAACCCAACGAGGAGCGCGAAGCGCTCGCGCTGCCGCGCAGGTTCCCAGGTCGCCCTCGCACGTGCGCTCGCCTTGTAGAACGCCCGGAGGGCCAGCCGCTCCTCCTCGTTTATAAACCCCAGCTCGCACGTGCAAGCCCCCACGCACTTTCCCCCGCACTCCATCGCCGCCGCCTTTACCACCGTCAGCAGCCGGCCACAGAACTCTGCGTTCTCCAGCCGGAGGGCGACCTCGTCCAACTCGTGCTCGAGATTCTTCCGCACGAGATCCGCATCGACTTGCCCCGTTGACACGTCTACAGCCGCCCCGTACGCCTGAGAGTCAATCGGAACGTTGCAGATCGCTAGAGTTTCTTCCCCGTTGAGGCGCTCCGGTGCCGTGTTGAAGGCGCTCAGCCCGCCGGCGTGGGTGACGTGCGACAGGTAGCACAACCCGAAGGTTTGGAGGAAGATGAGCTCACAGAGGATGACCTCGAAGAACTCCGGGTTCCTGTCCGCCCCTTTGTCCGTGAAGAGGGAGAAGGAGCACCGGTCCCAGGCCTCTAGGTCTAGGGCCCGCAGCTGTGCGAGGTTGTTAACCTTTTGTGCGGCGGTGGACGGGCTGTACTTCTCCGCTTGGAGAACCGCAAAAGGGACCCCCCCGTTTCTGCTGACCAGGACCTGCTTCCCCCCGTGGTGCACGAGCGGCGCCCTCCGTCCCTCGAGCCGCTCCGCGTTCATACGCGTGTCCAGGCTGAGGCGGACGATGCTGTCGATGATGATGTTGCTGTCGGGGGTTTTGGAGCGGGCGTCGTGGTCTGGGGCGACCTTCTTGTTGGTGGCGATGTGGAACACGCGGTGCTTGCCCGTCGACGTGGAGACGTCCGCCTTCAGCTTTGCATGGTCGTCGCCAGCCACCAGAGTTGCGCACGCCCGCGAGAAGCCGGCATCCTGATGCATTCGCCAGGCCACGTGCGAGTACTTCGCGTCCACGTTGGCCTCTTTCTCGTCCGGACGCACCTCAAAAAGCAGGGCAAAAGGAGGACTAGTAAGTGCTCCGAATCTTGAATCGTTTCTTCTGATTGATCACCTTGTGCTGGTCGACCAGAACCAAATGTTCCTCATACGAATTCAGATTTTCAGATCAAAACCCACGCAAAATCGCGATCCAGTCCTAACTTGAAGGGATCCGCCAATGACTCCATTGGAATACCTGGTCACTTCAGAATCCAGAAATCTGAGCACCTTTTGAATCTTCAACAATACATGAGATGACAATCGACCTTGAGAACCGAGGCATGTTTAACTTGGACTTCAAGCGGTGACAAAAACCAGCTCAGGCGTCAAGCGAACTTTGAATCAATTGCCATGTGTCCCCCCCGCTTTGTTGCGTAAACCTGCGTCCGCTTTCTGCCGATCACCATGCTTTGAATGTTGCAGGGCTGCGAAACGAAGCACGTTCTGCCGCCAACCAGATCTGCACTGCTAAGTGCGCCAAATGGCTCAAGTACGTAACTCTCGTCATCAATCCGGGATTGAAGTTGACGTCCAATCTGAAGAATCTGGTGGTGCTGAGCGCCGCTTTTGAAAGGAAGATCATCATATAAAGGGGTGACGTACCTCAAGCGAAAAGCTTGAATCAATGAACATCCTTACAGCAAATCCGACCATGTCCTGTACTTCGTTCTCAGTGATAATCCAAGCAGAAAGGCTCGCAACCGCGCACCCAGCCCATCAAATGGACCACAACGAACAGTCGGTGTTCCACACTTCTAAACAAAGCAAGCCCAACGGACTAACCCTCCTTGCAGGTCAACAAAGCACTGAAGGGAAGGCTCCGATCACTCAAACACAGGGCAGAAAACTAATCAGTGTGCTATTGGTATTCAAGAAAGGTGGAAAGCAGAATATAGAATGAGATCAATCTACCTTTCCGTAGGATGTGTTCGCCAAACCCCGATGCAGCTTTCTCGCAATCGACCGCTTCCGGGCAGGATTGAAGGCACGGTGCAGCGTCGCCCGCG